CAAATATATCAAATATATCAAATATGTCTGACATTTAGATCTGCAACCTTCTGCGTCACGTCCGTCAATCCAATCCTATTACAGTAAATATTGAAATATATAGAATCAACGGAAAATGAATAAAATCTATGAATCTTACAGCATTAAGTAGATTATGTATTTTTCTAACATTATTCATCATCCTTTTTAAGCGATACATTTGGCATTGATGTGGCCGGTGTATTTTCTTCACCTGTCCCTATTTTTTTTAAAAAAATATCACTTATATACATGTTTTACATCATTCAAACACTCAATATGTACGTATCGGGTTGTTCGTGACATAGAAGAAATTCACGAATATTAACTAACGCTTCTAGTACCGCTTTTCTCCTGTTTGGTTCTACTAGATCCAAACCTTTCCGCTTAGAGTTTTCTCCCGACTACCTCTTAATAATAACTTCTATTTTTGGTAAACCACGACTAAGTTCAGCCTAATATTTTGCAGGGATTACTGCCTTGTAAAATGTCACGTGCGTTGAAAGAACGCGTATAGCAAATATGGTCTCATCAATAGGTTCCTTATCATCAGTAGCACGTATATTCTCATCTTCACAAGCAATAATATTTGCGGCAATTTGTGTTTCCCTGAAACCACTTGGTGAATAGATGTTTTTAATATGTTTATCCTGTTTAAAAGGGTATTTTTTAGAATGAATATGGGTTTGGCAAACAATCAAAAACATTAAATGTTCAGACCTCTACAGCCACCATATTTAATTTTCGATTAGCAACCACAAATTCGAGGTCTGCCGAAATATAAGGCTTTTCTTTAATGATTATTCTGCATAGCAAATAATTTCTAGATTTCGATAGAACACAAACATAAGTAACTCACAAAAAGTACGTTTTTATAATTACTCACAGTATTTTTAAAAGCCAGACATTCAAGTCGGCGATATGAAGCAGATCATCCACTAATGTGTCAGTTTTAGATTTGTCTGTGCCTGTTGCAACCTTTTCATTCTCAACAACGTCACGCATTTTATCAATGAACGTTTTGACTTGATTCGAAACCTTATCGAGCTTGTCAATCTAAAAATCTGGGTTTCCGACTTTATGGCGATTGATTTCAGGAAGAAGATATTCTGCCGAAGCTGTGATTGCAACAATATTTGAAATGCCAGTGTTTCGCTAAGATAAATATTCAAAACAACGTACCAGAGCAGTTTAAGGAGGGAATAACATCTTCGAAAGAAGCTGGCTGGAAGCTCACTTTCAGTAGTTGAGCAGCATCTTGTTTAAAATCTGACGCAAACTTAGGTTTAGATCTCTTAGTTTTAGTTCCTTTGGTTCCCGTGGAAAGAAACTTAGGAAAAGATGATCGAGAAACTTTGTAACGTGACGGAATAGCGAGAACATGTGGTCAAAATATGTATGTGCTAATAAATAAAATATGCGATAATATGTGTTCATAATTCTGGTAAAAATTATGTTTAAATT